CCTGCATGCGCGGGTGAAAACAATGGGTGCGAGTCTTTATATATATACAATTCTGTTTGGGACACGTCTCTTGCAAAATCTGTTGGTCCATCCCATCACCAATCTTTGGGGTATTGAGAGGTCTCGTCCTGCTGCATGACTGTTGAGGTATCCACTGGATACCACAGTACAGTCGGGCAAAAGATCAATGACCAAAAGGGATGCCTCGCTGCCTCACCATGATCACGCTGAGGAACAGAGCTGTAGCCTGTTTGGAGACTGCCGCAGACCCTTGAAATATCTCTTTGCATCCATGGAAACGCCCTTGAACGATCTGCTTAGAGGATTTCTAGGTTTTCTGGATTACATCATGCCCACATTCATTGCCACAGTGTATTTAAGCATGGTCAACTAATTAATATATGATTGAATAATATGTGTGCTTTGACAGGCATATCTGAGAATATGTTCCCCCTGAACTGAACTTACTTTATATGATCCAAGAAGATGATATGTTTACATACTGGAACAATTCATATTCCTGAGATTCCGAACGGAACGGTTTTTTTCTGCTCCAGGCAGTGACACTTCACTTGGACCCGCGGTCAGAATCTTGGAGGGACAGAGAAACCAGTGGGGGATGCTGATCCAAAAGGCGAGACTGCAAGAAGTGAAGAGAGCCACAACTTCAAAAATGACAACCCGACCATGTGGGTATGCCTCAAAAATGACCTTGAACATCTTTGATCCCAGGTTTCTGGCTCTTCAAGGTAAACCCTAAAAGTCTCTGGGATGGCCAAATCTTCAGCCAAGAAAGACCCTCCCCCATGACCGGTTCGAATTGTTCGGATCCCGTCGATGGGTCCGTCTCACACCACTGCCCATGGTCAGTGACGGTCCTTGTCGCCGCTCATTCCGGCTCCAGATCGGAGATGGCCACGAGATGGTGCCACATGAAACGAAGATGAGACCAAATGGTCAAAGGTTGGAGAAGGCCATAATGGTAGGCATCCACAGGCCCTTCTTCGGCCCATCTGAGATGGTGGGTAACAATACCCACAAACCGCCACAGAAGAGGGGAAAATTCACATCTCGCTGCACCGAAGTCTTTAAGAGAGGACGCTGCCGTTGCTGTTTGTGAGTCTGTAGGCTGTGTAAGTGTCTGGTGTGCTCGGGTTCCTGAATTGGTTTGCTTTGTAAGTGTGAAAGGAACATGGAGGCCTGTATAGCTTTCCTGTTCCATGTTTTCCATGCCCAGAAAGCCACATTCAAAACATGAGACAACTTCTCCACCAATCTCCTGTCCTCATCCCGCGCCATGGCCCTGAAGCACGATGAAGGCGCCGAGATCTCGCGCCCGCCTTTCGACACGGTGATCGAACAGCGGGAGACCGAGGACAGAGAGATCTGAGGAAGGTTGATAGAAAAGTAGGATCCCTACGGGTCGATAGATGGACACCGTGCCACTGGGGATATATATATATATAAGTTATATAAGATATTATGCCATTAGAAGGCTTTTGAAAGTGGATGCGCGAGATTTCACTCGTCCGTGCTGGATAGTTCATGAACCAAGGGGAACGGCACCTGAAGGGCGAACGGCTATAGATCCCCACTGGAATACACGTGAAGAATGAGAAGACTTGAGAGGACCTGATGATCTCTGACCCTTCTTTTTGGATATGGTGTGTTTCAAAGCATGGTCAAGGTCTCTCCCCTATTACCATGGGACCATGCCAGAGTCTTCTTCCCCTGTTTCGACACTCGTGAACATCGAACTTCTGGAATTTCCACCAACCATCCAATCTGCCGGGTTTTCACCGTGGTTTACACAGCGCGCTGAACCTCCAGTGGTTCCGTCCGTCCTCACGTGACTGACGCGCGGGACGTTGAGATCCGGGAGGTCTTTGGGGCCAACGAGTCACGAGGTACGAGGTACACGTCTCATATAAAAACCAACCAAAAGAAACACCAGGGAAAGTACCAACAAAACACCAGGTGTTTTCCTCGTTCATCCGTTGTTTTTTTCCGGTGTTTGAAGATCGATCCATCTCACAGAGGTCGCGAATCCCTCCCAGAGTCCCAACTCTGGGAGGTTTTGTTGGCCTGTCGATGAGCCCATGAACCCATGTGGTCCCGCGTGGTGTTCACGGACACGCCTGAAATCGTCAGGAAAGGCGGAGGAGAGGGGGGCCGCTCTTGGGACGCCTTGGCTGAAGCGATGGGTGAAGCGTCCCCATGGCTTTTCTTCACATGAGAAAGGTCACCATGGTCAGTGAGGTTTGTTGGTATTGTTCTACACACCAGGTTTGGGGCAGCTGAAAAAGAGACCAACACAACTCAACTGCCCGGATGTGCCAGTCCTGTTCGGAGTGACCAGTGTCTCTATCTGGGCCATAGCGGAGCGGCCCCGTTGCCCAGGCCACTACATGCAGTCGGGTGGTATGTTCTGGGGGCACCGCATGGTGGTCGCATTCGGGCACTGCCTTGGGGATTTTCTGTGCATTGCCTTCACAGAGACCAATATCTTCGCAGGAAGTCCTTGCAGGTACCTGCTATTTGTAGAGGCCAAGAGTCTTCCAGAGGTCAGTGTCAGCTTCCATGATTGATGGCAAGTATGGTAGAAAGCAACAGTATAAATAGAATTGGATAATGTGATTAAACATTGTTACAGATCGTTTCCGCCAAGCATACATGCTTTTGGATGTTGCAAGAACATACTTAAGGGGCCACTGCCACAGCTGCTAGACACTTTGAGTCCGTTTGAACCTTCATTGAACGTTCTTCCACCCCCCGCTTTCACGTCGCTTTCAGCGTTTGGCTCCCCCGACACGAGCAGGACCAGGTGGCACCGGAGGAGAAGCTCTTTGGACGAGTCTATCAACCTGGACGTCCGAGCCTCGTGGGGAACACTGAGCCAGGAGGATCGGTCGAAGAACGGAGGTGTCACAGACATAGCCCTTTTTTGTGACCTCTGTATATAGAAACTTTAGACCACCAACTACCCAAAATATCATGTCTATATCGCTTTGTTCCTATCAGGGGGTCAAATGGGTTCTAGTTTGTTTCTGCTTGCTTTGGAATTCTCCAGTCCCCTGAACAAAGAGGTGACCAAAGGTGTAGGTGAAACTGATCCAGACCGATTTTACAGGTGGATTGGACGGTTCAAGTTAGTAAAACATGTTTGTGTGGATCACCGAACAAAAAAGACATTACAGTATTACAGGTGCAGTTCACCTGCTGCACTTCAGGTTAGTTTTACAGGTGCTGTTCACCATTTTTTGCCAAAGATGATGAAGCTTGGTGCTGAATCGGATCAAGGGATCAAGGTGGTATCGATAGCAGAGCTACGAGCTTTCGGGAGTGCCTGGGTCCTGGCTGTCGTATCGAACGGCAATCTAACCTCCGCTCCAAAAGTGAGGAGTGTGGAACTTTAGAACCAACAGCTTCTAAATTCTTGGACCTTCGCGTTCGATCCATCGGTTCGCGGTTTTTCCCGGAGAATCGTACGCGTTCGGCTCTGGTGATGGGTTCAGATCTTGAGATCTGCAAAAGTGATGGAATCCTGTTACGCCTATTACGCATGTCCAAGGAAATCGCAAACACCAAGTTCAAGGGTAAACAGTACATGACAGAGTCTAATCTGATCTGAGCGAAGGGCTCCAACGGAAACGTGAACCCGTGGCCCAGGCTGGGATGTTCCTAACCTCTTCTTGCCTTCATTGACCTACATCAAGGACAAAAACCTTTGTCCGGGGTGTTTGGTTGACATACTGGTACGCGGGCGTTGGTTTTACCCATGTCCACCGCGTTTGTTTTCGGAGAATATAAAACAACGTGATCAAATAATTTTGGTAGATATATAGACGTGTTGGTAGGGCAATTGTGCGTAGAATCAATGTCTCTCCATCCTGACTTTGTTCTAGTCCGGGGAAGCTGGCCGCATGGTTGATTCTCAATGATTCTCACATGTTCTTGAGATAGAACACCTCCCTGAAACCCATTTTGAAATGTTCTTCACATACTTCGGAATCACACCTTTGATCTCGAATACACACCTATATATTTGGTTGAACTTGTAGGGGAAGTGCAAGCCAGAGCTATGTGTTGCAAGTGTTGTTCAGAGAAGTTACACCCAGATTGGGTCAGATAACTTCCATGAACATGGAGACCATGGACGACGTACGCCTTGCTGCCACACGGTCGACCCGACCATGTGCAGGAGAACCCCAAGGCCACCGCCCACTTCCGCCAGAAGGTTTGCAATCGCGACTACGACGCGGTGAGGCGAAGCCTGCGAAGCTCGCACGAAGCACACATGAGGGAAGCGTTTTGGCCAAAGCGCAATCTTGCACTGTCTTGTTTAACGGTTGGGATTCTTTTCATGACGTTTTTTTTTTTTCAATTCAGAACTACACATGAGGCAAAGTCTATTCCCTAGTTGCCAAAAGACCGTACAAGGTGACAGGCTATCACAGGCTATCAATTTTTAACACAGCACAACTAAGTGTAGCAAAAGTGCTATATCATTATCATGAATATCATTATCGTGCAAAATCATGTGTTGTCACCCCAACGAAAGTGTTTAATGCATCAACCGACAACCAGTAGCATAGTGTTGGAGTTGCAAAACATGTTGAACAGAGGCCACGAGTTTCGCAGGCGACGGTCCCTTGAGATGTGGTAAGGATGGCCGGTACTGTACGGGTTTTGGTCACTGGTTCACTACCACGGACCATTTTATCCATTCAGCGCTGTTGTCCTTGGCGTTGCCTTCCTTGGACGTCGCGTTGGTGACTCAGCTCACCCCCCTCAATCCATTGGATGGGTGCCTGGCTGCCGGACCGTTCGAGGTGCCCGTGCCGATGCGCAGGGCGTGCAGATTGGATGTAGCATGGAGATGGGTATCCCGATTCTGAAACTGGGGGGTGGGGATCTCATGAACTGTTTGTGTTGATGTAGCGTGGACATATTCGTATTTCACAGACCCGATTCATAAAATATTCGATTCAGACCCATTCCAGTTTCGAATCCGCGGTTGACCGCGTTGGCTGTGAGCAGTTCGCCACTTGAAGTATGTTGTTCATATCCTTTGTGGACAGGAACCATTGTTTAAAGGTTTCGCCGCCTGGCAGGCTCTTGCTCCGAGCAGGGTTTCCGTTTGGGGCGCTCAGGGCACAGGTTGGCACAGGGATCATTGATTTGGAGACATTTGAAAACCTTGAGAAACGAGTTCTCCATAAGTTGAGAAAAGAACATAAGTATAAGTTGACAGTTGAGAATAAATAGACTTGTCACTTGTCACATATAGATTGAGAAAAGACCCACCTGAAGAGGCAGTCCCGGCAGGCTCTAAGAAACAGCTCGATGCACCCTACCGGGGGCCACTTGTGGCACCCATCACTCCCCTATCATCCAACTATACTGCTTACCCCAGTGCGCTCCGGAGGGAGCTTCTTCAAGAGTCAGCCAGTGTAAATTCTAGTTACTTCCCCCCTTCAAAACCCAGAAACTCGATTGGAGTCTGGCCCAAGCTTTCACCCGCAAACATCCCCAACCCCCGCTTCGGTGGCCGACCTCCAAGGCCTTCGACGCCTTTGTCCCCGCGGCATCACCGTGCGGGATCCACGGGTTCAAAGCGTCAACGGAGCGTGACCGTTTCCGGTTGAGCGGTTCAAAAGGAGTTGCCTTATTGAGCGGTTTTGGATGGATCGTCCGGTTTTTTGAGTCTGAGAGTTTGATCGCTCTGTGGGGTGAAGAGAAGAATCCAAGGCTTTCAAAGGCTTAGAAACTGAAACTAAACTCTCGAAAGAATTTGTACTAATAGCTTCTAGCTACTAGTTGTCATGCTCTTGTTACTAGTAGCGATGCCCTTGTCACTTTCAGTCGTTCCAAGGCACGGCGCTGTACTTGGCCGCCGAGGCAGGGGGAGAAAGCAGAATCCAAACGGCGGAAGAGGCGTGAAGATGCGTGAAGGACCAAACAAATGGCCACAACCTCTTACAGATCTTGCAGGCTGATTGAACATACTTGAACCACAAACAGTCACTACCTCCTCACACAAGTCATGGCCACGTGGCGATATGTTGTGCTTTGGACGCAGAGCTCCAGACTGTCCCAGTCGAGCCGTTGGACGTTTCGTTGAGCGTTTCGACCGACGTTTCTCACGTTTTCTTCGCCGCTTCGCCAGATGGGCGATGAGTTCATGTGCCAGCTCTTAGTGAGTTTTCGAGCCTCTCGGCTTGGAGAGACTTGTGCGGTTCTTTTTGCACAGCTTCATGGCCACACAAACAGATACAAACAGTATAGCGAGTACAGCGATGCTGAAGCAGATCGGTGGCTGGCAAGCGTATACAGGAATTTCCCCGTTGATTCTACTACATCTGCAGATCTTGGAAGATCCTCTATGTCCAAACACTCAAGACCGTCCAGTCCCAACGCAAACATGGCATGTTTCATGTCGCCGGATCCGCCGGATCCGCCACCGTCTGAGGCCGACCCGTTCCAACGTCTAAAGCCGCCAGAGAACGGGGGACTCATCACCTTTGGGGAGGTGCAGAAGGGCGGCAGAATGGCGGAGGTGTGTGCGGACTCTGCAGGTCGCTGGTCCGGGATGCATCTTGGCCTAAGCGAAGAGGTTCTCTGGTGTTTGGGACCATTTCGGGCCCATCATGTCATGCCTCTCCACTGAAATCCTCTCCATTACAGTACTTGGATGATCTCTGATGTGTTCTTTTTTCAAAACTGACCGCAAAGGGCTCCAGTCGTACCTCAGAAGCTATATCGACTCTCCTGGTACCCATCTCAAAGACCTCAGAAGGTCCTGAGAGCGGCTCCGATTAGCTCCCCAGTTTTGACCCTTCCACGGGAAAACACCGAAGTGCTGGCGCTGTCCGCGCTGTCCAAACTGCAGGCGTCGGGGAAGTTGCAGCCCCATCCTTTAGACGTGGCCGTACAGTCCACGTCTCAGCCGGGGTTTGCGGGCGTGAGGGTGTTTTGAAGGCATTAGGTTGTTTTGGGTTTTAAACAGGAATGTGAATAGGAAGACATAGGAAGAATAGGAATACATTTAAGAGTTACACTTTAAGAGTTATACTTTGATAGTTAGAGATGTGTTGACAGTTTTGTGTGTTGCTGTTGTTTAGTGAAAGCTCATATCATGACACTCCATTGGGCAAAAGATTCAAGAAAATTCACATTTTTGTTGGTCCATTTCGTTCCACCAAGTCTTGAATTTCCGTGAAATTGAACTTAAGAGATATTCTCTGGAACTTCCTTCTCCTCAGACAGAATATCCCGTATGTTTTCATCTTCACTCAGTCTGAGGCAGGACCAACTTCCGATCATGCACTTCTTTGAGATGTACCGGGCGATTCCACGGCCCCTGGACCGTGGGAACGCTCTGCCGGTGAGGCGCCAGCGCGGTGAACGTTAGAACGTGCGTTCCTTGTTAGACGTTCCTTCTCTTGTGGTGTCAGTAGAGGTGCCAAGTGGTGAGGCCATGCATTTGGATGTTGGTTTCCGGAGGAAGCATGGCTTGAGACTGATCAAAGAACTGCCGGAAACGGAGCTTGTGACCACTTTGCCACTTCATTCGTTGCACATAGTAACTTAATATAACTTAATGAACACCATTTCAAGACCGTAGTTATTGTGCACTCCAATAGGGTAATTTGGGTTTTATCAGTTACCTAAATACAAATGAAAACAGCCTGGTCACGAAAGAGCATACTTGCTTGGGAGTGAAATCACGTAATGTCTCCATCCCTGGGTGCGTCCATGGCGGATCTATGTAGTGACCACACAGGTGGTTTTGGGTGGAACATCCATGGGTTTTCTCAAGACCCAGACCATCCAGGTATGGTGTGGGTCACATACATTTGCCCCATAGATAACAGTTCTATGTAGGTACTGTAACTAATAGTACCTATGATGGATGATCTCGGAGAGAACACACACATTGGCTTAGATCCCTCCCAGTATTTTAGTATCAGCATCACCATCTTTGTGGTAAAGCTTGTGGCTAACCAAAGGATTCATCCACTGTTGGGCACACCTTCATGAAAGTCGACGTCCCCACTCAGTCGATTAGTCTGTGGTGGCCCGAGATAATATGAAAGTTCTTGAAAGACATAGGGAGAACAGTGCCATGCACATAAGCAGCCGGGCCGTACAGCATCTTGTTAATTCGTGTCAAAGTGCTTGTTTGCTCAAGCAGGGGTCAAGCAGACATGGCTGTCCTCTCATAGGCTTCCTCGTTTCTACTAAGGCTTAGTAGGCTACCTCAGCCAGGGACAGACCCTAAGCACAAGATGGGCACAAACCAACAATTTTCAAAGTGAAGTATGTAAAGCAGGCTTCGTTGGACACTTCCTCGTTGCCTGCAGGCGTTGTTTTTGGGCCGATTTGCTGCTTCCTTCGGTCCGAATCGAAACCCTTTCTTCGATTCGATCGCTTCCAGGCAAGAGTTTCCTTTACAGGTGACATTGAAGGCGTGGACGACAACGCCCAGACGTGACGGATGATGGACGACGGACGGGAGTCGTCGCATCCGACGACGTGACGACAAGCTTTTCGTCGTGTGACGTCAGACAGTCGACTCGTGTGACGATATGTGAGTCGTGTGACGTGAGTCGTGTGACTCATGACACAGCCAAGTAGCTGGGTGACCACCATTGGACGAATTCTTGGAATCGCAGCTTCTTACGATCTTGGGAAATCCCCGCCCCACAGAGAATAAAGAGGACCACGGAAGTACGAAGCATCCTTTATTGTCCTACGAACTCCGGCTTTACCTTTGACTGCTGCTAGAATCTGCTAGAAAAGAAAACCATCACAAAACGGCATTCCCTTTTCCAACCCATCTCAAAAGGTGTTGTTTGTTCAAGTTGGGCTGTCTTAAAGTCTCAAGTCGTATGCAGTATAGCATGCATCACTTCTGAAAGCAAGAGACAACCCATCGAATTCGAAAGTCCAACTTATAACTTGATGTTTTTTCTTGACCCTCCCCCTCTCCCCAATCCCTGGAGCACAACGAACAACAGAAACACACCCACCGCGCGGTTTGGCGCGCGCGCTTCGCTTCGAGGCCAACGAAGATGGCTTCGATGGACCCCGCGAGCCGCTGGACCGGTGAGAGCCGCGTCACCGGTCTCCAAAGGAGGCTCCGGTGAAGCGGTGAGTCCCACGAAGTCACTGTAGTCACGGTCTCCAACGGGTCGGAGGATGCCGATGTTTTGACAGGGTCGGTGGATGCCCCGGAGTTGGAAGAACGGGTTTTTGGAGAGTTTTTCATGAGTGGCTTTATATGGTACTTGCCAACATTTGTGTTGGGGACACATCGGTTTTCGTGTGGAGCACACTTCCTGAATTGTGTTCGCTAGTCATGATCTGTTTCCATTGTGAATGTCTTGACCTAGGTTTGCTTAGGGTGATGTTCATAATTAGGGTCAAGCAGTGGTCATGCCGAAATCTGCTGAAGATGATGTTTTCTGGGTTCCTTAAGCATCCTTAAGCCAATTGAAACATGATACATGTTTCAGACTGGGTGGACGTCTCCGACCCGCAGACCTGTGAGACCACCTCGTCGTACCGGCAAAGTCAAAGAGTGGCGCGGTTCCGAGGGCGGAGCGGCCCATGCGGCGTGAGAAGGTGGAAGAGTCTGGAAGATCTGAAAGAACTGAACTGTTCCCTTTGTTTCAGAATTTTCCCAAGCCTAGTGATACAAAAAACTGATCGATATTGATACACTATAAGTTACACTATACTATAATATATGAGCTGTTTGTGAAGAGGTTGCTCTGGAGTGTGAAGGATTCAGCTCCAGTGCGCTTGGCGCAGACACTCGTCCGGTCGGCGAGTCCGGTCGAGCTCCACCGGGTCGGTGTCCGAAGAGAACAGTGGGATCGACCTCTGGGATCAGTTGTAGACTCTTGAGGACCATAACCCCCCAATGGACAAAATGAAGATCCTCTTCTTATGGGGGGTTGATTAATCAAGAGGTCGACATTAGTTGTTGGGGATCGACTTCCGAGCTGGTCCTTGTTTTTCGATCTCAACAAACCGGTTCTGTGAGACGACCATGACTTGTCCGTCTTTTTGGAGGGAGGAAGAAAAGCTGACCTGGGATGGAATCATACCCATGGAACAGTGTTTTGGGGGTTCCAAGCCCCTACATTGATCCCTCCAACATACATGGGTGTTTGGAGGTGATTGATTGGATCTGATTGGAGCCGGAGCCAGCCTGACAAGTCAGGTCTGGCGGGCAGCTCGCTAGATTGGCTCCTCAGTTGGTGGCTCCTCAGCCGCAGCTCTTTTTGATTGGGAATGGACTGCCGGGGATTGGTTTCGGATTTGGGTGTCTTGTATGTCACACGGTCAGAGACGGTGGTATTTACGAAAAAGACCGTTGATTTGGGCAGATTGGACCCTTTTGCCTGGAGGGAATCTGAAGGTCATGGCTCGTAGTATCAACGCCTACCAAGTCCTCGAGCCCCACTTTCCTCATTGCTATCATTGGAGCTTGCCAGTGTAAGTTTGATTTGATATGAATTATGATAGGTTTTTCATCAGCATGATTTAGCACTAATGGCATTGAAACAGATGAAAATATTTTATCAATACCGTTCAATCCAGAATGGGATTCACCTCTTGGAGGCATGGGCACATCCAACTGCTAGACTTCCAATTGCTCGTTATCCGTCTTTTTGGCCGATTTTACAGGTCAAGATTATGTTGGATGAATTCCAATTAATAGGCCAATGACATGCATTGACAACAAATATTAAATATCACATAATTATATTATACAATATTACAATATAATTAAGAACATATATATTACTAATACAAAAATATATCTAAATAGAATAATATATTGTATTTTTTTTGTTATTGGGGATATTTTTGGATTATGATTTAATGATTGGGAATGTATAGAATAATAAAATATTGTAGAATTTGTAGATTGGTTTTGTTAATAATTGTTCGTAGGTTATTCGGTTAATAATTCTTAATTGGGATCGTAAAAATGTATTATAACCATATTTAAGGAAGAATAATTTTTATTGACCTTTTTATTTTTTCGTATTATTTAATCGGAAAAATATATGTCTTAAGAATTTGGTTTATAAATGGTTTGATTAATAACTCTTTATTCGTATATTCGTATAGTCGCATTAATAAATGTTTTTTTAAATTGATAGATATTCGGGGGATTGTGTGATTTTTTTTTTTTTTCCGGGGGTTCGATTTTCTTGTAGGCTTTGAGATTTCGTGATATAATTATAAGGCTATTTCGACCGTGATGCATAGAGGTGATAGCCGGATCGAGGCTAGTATGTTGTAGGGATGTTTACGTCTTTGGACTATTTGATGGTCGACGATGAAAGCTAACTATGAACGAAACACGTGGTTGATAATGCCACTTACGATGACAGCTATTTATTATGGTTGGTGCTAGACGAGCTCTTTACGAACCCGCGTTGGCGTCTGCCTATTAGCCGTAAGACCTCCCTGATTTACTCGGAGCTGCTTTTGATGCATAATTCGCTTGTTTTTGATTTTAGACGACGTAGATTTGGGCCGTGAGCTGTTTACGAAACAGCCGCTGTGGTGTGCACCGCGTGCACAGCCCTTGATGGGCAGATATAACGACTGCCGAATAATGAAATGACATGAAAATTGTTGTATTGTATTAATATATTTATTTATTAGGTTTTATTTATTGATTTAGCTAGATATATATATATATTTTCTTTTTTGATATAGGTAGGTTTATTGTTGTTTATTCGGTTGTTATTTATTGTTTATATGTTTAATTTCTGGATGAATTTGTATATTGAAAAATATTTATTTTTATAATTTATAATTATATAATTATAAAAAAATTAATTATGGAATTAAAAGAATTTAATATAAATATTCATTTTGAATATTAAATATATTGATTTACAAATATATTTATTTATTTGGTGAAGGTTGTCGTCGGATTTTTTGTTTTAGTTAAATTTCTATAATTTGATGTATTTATATATTTTGTAAATATTATTTGATGAAATCTTTATAGTAATTATTATGGTTTGTATATTTAATTATATATATTAATATAAATAAATAGAATTTTATATTATGATATAATATCTATATTTTAGATTTGGTTAAATTCGTAAAAAAAATATATATTATATATTAATATATTTTAAAATAACAATAATATTGTTAAAAAATTAATTTTAATTTTCGGATTTTGTATATTGAAGATAATTAAATGTGTTTTTATTTGGTATTTGAAGGGAAAATCACCTAAAAAATAACAATATTAGTATTGTTATTTATATTTTTATTGATATATCTAATGTTATTAGTAGGCTTGCGCGGGACCGGATAGATTTAGTAAATCCTATCGCGACCATTTTTAAATTGTGATCGTTTTGGAGCAATGGGAGACGAATTGAAGAGCTGTTCATTACGACGAGGATTAGAGTCCGAAACAACAACAATAGCCCATCAGGGTCGAGGCACTCACCCCGGAGATAATAGCAGTCCTTGACACACAGTACGCCACCCTGCAGCATCAGCGGAAGCAACCCCAAGCCAAAGCTGAGGATGAGGACATGGATGGTGGATATCGTGACGTGAGAGGGCCGCGCAAAGGTGAGGGCAAGCAATTGTCGCACAGGCGCCAATAGGAGGCAACGAACCACCACCCCACATATTAGACTCATTTTCGGCCAAGACACCTTTTAACGACCATTTCTTATTGGGATACCACATCTCGCCGCCCAGTAGATGAGCGGGGCGCACCGCGGGGCGTTGACCCTTTGACCGTTTCTACTGACCATTTCTTGACAACACGCGCTAGTAACATCTAGTAACAATGATTCCCATCACCCACATACGCCCCACCGAAAACAGTGAGAGCACAACCGGTCCAACAAAAAGCGAGGTTTCAGGTCCGAAGCCGCCCGTTTACAAAGACATTGCAACCGCCAACAAAAACGCAACGATCACAGATGCAGATACCGATGGTGTAATTCACGCATGCTATGCGGAGTGGAAGAGAATGGGGGAGGTGGGTTAGGCGCCCACTTCCCGGGCCGTACACGGAAGATTGAAACCTCAGCCCTTGAAAGACGTGCGTCTAGCCTCAAGCACGCGCCTCTACGAGGAGCACCGCAGCCTCAACAGAGCCAGTGGAACACAAACGTCACTAACTTATGGACTCAAACTTAAGATAGTTACCTTCAACATACGCTCCCTTTTGAAAGCAACTATGCGCAGACAACTTAACAAGCATATGCGTAAGCACGACATTCACATTTTATGCATGCAAAAGACGGTCCAAAAATACAGTCCAATATGTTGTTGACAATTTGACTTTCCTGACAGTCAGCACAGCGAACGCAAACCAACAAGAGTATGCAGGAGTAGAGTTTGTGTTGTCCCCGACAGCCCGAAACGCACTTTTGCGAACATCTTCCGTTAATAGCCGGATTGCTTGTATTTCTTTGCTTATAGGAGGAGGGGAATTAACTATCATCAACACCTATGTGCCACAAAATGCCAGACCAGAAGATGAACATCGAGACCATTTTTGACCAAATGCAGCAGGCGATTGCCCAAATTGCACGCAAAGGACCTTTTCTTATTATGGGGGACTTAAACTCGCGATTTCAAGGGAAATTGCATGGCGAAGAGGACGTGCTAGGACTTTACATGTTTGGGAAAGGGTGGGCAGCTGTGGGGGGAAGACACGGATAATAGGTTCCTACTTGCCGATTTTTGTCGTGCCAATGATTTGCTCGTGGCCAATACATGGTACCAATAGTCGGCAGCCAAGCCAACGACATTTCAAGAACCTGGTACCCATTGGCTGCCTCCAACCAATGCAATTTGGGATCCCGTTGATTTTGCGCAATTGGACTTTTGCCTTATACCTCGGCGATGGCGTAACTCATGTAAACACATTTACAGTCAGCCAAGAGTAAATCTAGATTCCGACCATTTTTCCTTTGATTGTGTGCCTTCAAATCAAACTCGGTGCCAGACGCAAATTGGCGCGTCGACCACGCTGGGATTTCCAACCAGCCACGACAGCCCAAATCGAGGCTATGAACGGAACGATTGATACTATGTTCATCTCAATGCGACTGCACCAACCGATCAATGGGGCGCCCTAAATACTTTGTATGCCCAAGCAATTGACCAACATATCCCAAAACAAACACTCCAACCCAAACAGTTATGGATTACTCAAAATACC